ATTTTAATCCTTAAACGAAAGCCTTCTGGAAACATTTATATCTAGATAATTATAAATAAAAATCTCTATTTGTCAAATGATAACAAAATTATTATTTTATATAGAATCTTTACTTTAAATTTTGGCCTTAATGAAACTTTTGAATATATATTAATTTACAATATTATCATAGATTTCAATTCATAAAATAAAATAGAGTATTTTTATAAAATAACTTTTATACTAATGTACTCCCAAAAACTAACAGTACTGATATATCTTTGTTATTTATAGATACTAAGATGTTCATATTGTCCTGCTTAGTAAATTTGTTATTAACTTAAGATTTGGGACATACTATTCTAAGTTTTCGATAAATTATGATCTATATTTTAATGATAGACTTTTAATTCTTAATAATAAAAAGTTATAATTAAATTAGCTTCATAGAGAAAGAAGAGATTATATTAATAAATTTGCTCCTTTTTGTTACTTAGATATAATCATATCATTTTTCTCTTATAATTATAGATTATATTTAATGGGTAATAAAACTTTTCAAAACGAAATAATTAATTCAAGTGTTCAATTTAATTAAATGATTCATTTAAGGATAAATTTATGTTGAATCATTGTGAACTTTAAAATAAAGAATTATACAGGCCCAAAATTCTTTAATGTCTCAACTTAATTATGCTATAAATACCTGTAGAATTATTTGACATTACTGTTACAATTTTTTTTTAATATTGGCAGCAAAATTAAATTCCTTTAACTAATCCACAATTTTCTTGTTGTAGATAGAAAGAGGATTGCTTGTCATGCGATTAACCTTTTGAAACATCAATATTTTTTTTAATAAATGATAATCGCTACTATATAAAAATTATTAAACATTAAATTATTGGGAATTTGGAAATAAATTAGTAAGGTTTAGTTTTATTAATCTCTTATTTAAAGAATTATCAACTCCTAATATGGTTTCCTTAAACAATTATTGAAAAAAAGAAATTTATCACTTCGCAGGATAAATTTTTCCCTGTTATCAACTGTTACCATTATTGCAAGCTTGAGTTGTAATTAAACAAATCATAAACAATAAAGTTTTCCTAAAAAGAATAATCACTTTTAGACCTTGATATTTCTTATTATTTTCTCATATCTGGATTCCACATTTCTTGAAATGGATTGTTCTTAGTGATCTCATATCTTCTATAAGTAATAATATAGAGAATTGAATATTACAATACTAGAATTTATTCAAAACTATTTCTTTTGCTAAAGTTTGTTTTGCATTCTACAAAGTGATAAATTTCGATGGCAAATTAAGAACCGATAGTTCATCAATAATTTTATTTCTATATTAAGCAGAATAGTCAAGTAATATGAAAAGTATTTGTCGGTTACAATTTTTATTAGTAAGAACTTAAGAATTTTTATGAACCTCTCCTCTCTCAAGATAAGTAAATAGTAATACTTCTTCTTCATTATAATTAATTACTTTTGATTCTTAAGTTCATTTTTAAGAGGTGTTTACTATAATTCTTTTTTAACTCTGATACTTATATAATAATGAATATACTTATTATTTTTTAGATTATGGTATTCAATTGAACTTGGAATTATCATTCACTTAGTTAATTGAGCATTAATTTTGCTCTGATGCAGGTAGATTAGGATAAGTTTAATGATGTTGAAATGATAATTAATGAAATTCATAACAATATTGTGAATAAATAATTATTGGTTTTCTAAATTAAAACTCTAACTAGATGATAACAAATCTCCAATTTAATTTTGAATTCGCTTAATCATTTAAATTTTAGAAATCATTTTTTAGGAAACTCTTTAAATCAAAAAGTTGTTGCTGAAATTTTACTCAATAATTGTTTTTTGACGATAAAAAAAGAAGTTAATCTTTAATAATATTTAAAAGTCATCAATTAGATAATGAAAGAAATTTTTTACAAGACCAAGCTTTAGTCATCTCCAAAAACACCTAATCAGCAAAGTATTCGACATTTCAACCATACTTTTTTTTTATTTGAAATTTTTGCATAAAGACTTTTTAATTCATTCAAAAGCTATGTTCTTTGCATCTTATAATTTGATTAGGTATAAATATAGGGTTATATGCTATATATATCTCTTCCTCTGATGACTTATTTATTTTAAGCAGTTTATAAAATTATTTAAAGTGGTGCAGTACAATTGCAATCATATGTCTAATCTCTTTTTATTCAAAATACAACCAGTACAATTCTTATATTTAATTATTTAGGATTATAAATTAATATTTATAAATATCTTTTATATTATTCATTATCAAAATGGTATATTATCTAATAATTTTATTTTCGATTAATTAACAACACCCACACATGGATATAATTCTTATGATACATCTATATCCAACAACTAATAATCGATATTATATTTACAACAAATGTTGCTTATGGATTATTCTATCTACTCCATTTAATGTATTTATGTTCAATACTTATTTCAATTATTATTATATCATTATTTGTAAATCCAAAGGATAATCTTTTTTCATATTAATCTTTGTTATTATGAGAATAAGTATATCCATCTTAGACTATTAAATATGTTCTGTTATAATATCAATATATATCCATACCCAGTTTTATAACAATTATGATAATTATTTTTCTACATAATCTCTCTATATCCTATTCCAACCATAAAAGTTGATCCATTTATCATTTAAAATGCAAACTATATTTTCCCAGTCTTTGGAATAGCTTATTCACAAAGACAAAAAAACCAACCATTATTACTAACTTCTGCCACAACTTTTCCTCCTTCACTTACTTAGCAATTAGTATGCTTATAAGTATTTGAAAATAATAATGATTTGCTATATAATTGAATCTAAAATAATATAATAAATGAGTTATAAATATACTTTTTCTAATTCGATTTTTTTTTATTTTTCTTATTCGAACTTAACTTTATTAATTTAATCAAGTTTGTTTAATGCTTCTTGTAATTCTTATTTTTTTTAAGTTAAATTTTGATTAAACTCTTATTTAACTTTGTTTTCTATTCAATAATATCAATATTTATTACATTCATCTTCGAATTTCTTTATCATCATCGTCTTATCTAATTCATATTACTTTTTAAGATTATTATTATCTAAAATAATTTATTAATGTTATTCTTTTAGATCTTTTAATTCGTTTTCCTTTAATAATAACTTTTCATTTGTTTCTTTGAGTTTCTCCTCATAATCCTATTACTTAGAACTAATAAAATTATTTTCTATTTAACTTTATAAAGCATTACTTTCATTTTCCAAATTTGTATTTGTTTCTTTTAATTTTATTATTTCATCCTCTAATTATTTAATGTTACAATATTTTTTCAATTAAATGCTATTATTCTCAAATGTATTCCCATATTCCTTTAAAATATTTGATAATTTAGAAAATTAAGATTTTAATTATTCTGATTTAACTGTTAAATCTTAGGATTTAGTCTATATATTTTATTTAAAGTATTCTATATTCTCTACATGTTATTAATAAACCATAATAGTTTAATTAAATAGATTTGATTAACATTGATATTTTTTAGCTTAATCAATCAATTCTTAAATTTCTTTGATTAAATTCATTTGATTTTAATAGTTTTCATCCTTTTATGAACATTTTTACATTTCTTAGATCATATCAATTAGTTAAATGAT